AATGAATGTGTTGACTGCATGTGAATGAGCTGACTGTAACTAAATAAACTTGCTGGCTGGCTGAAATTAAATAAATAAATAAACTGTGATTAAGCTGCCTGCAAGTTAATGAGCTGGCTGACTCATGAAGTTAATGAAGTGTGTAAGCTGGTTGCAAGTGTATAAGCTGGGTAATAGTAAATGAGCTGGCTGGCTGCAACTGTTTGAGCTGGATATAAGTGAATGTGCTAATTACAAACGAATGAGCTGGTTTCATGTGAACGAGCTGGCTACATTTTAATATGCTGGCTGCAAGTAAATAAGCTGGCTGAAAATGAATAAACTAGCCACATGTGTACGAGCTGGCTACAAGTAAATGAGCTGATTGCTGGTGAATAAACTGGCTGCAAATTAATGTCCTGACTGCAAGTAAATAATTTTGCTGCCATTGGATGAACCGGCTGCAATTATCAATAAATAAGTTGATGACAAACAAGTGAATGAGATTACTGAAATGGTTGCAATTTTCAATTTTGAAAATTATCCAACTCTCCGCATGTTCTCAAAAGCATAAAATTGATCTTCCACAAATTAATGCTAAATCACTGAAAAAATAACTCAAAGTAACTGTAAACAAAATTTATAATTTTTAGTAACTTTTGTTCTTTTTAAGGAAATCCATGAAATTTAATGTTTTTTGAAATCCTTTTTATTCCATTTAAGTAAATAAAATTATAAAATGGTATGATCCTATGTTATCTACTTGTCGAAAAGTTGATTTAATTATTTATTTATAATTTTAATTAAATTTTGTGCGTGTGTGCGATTCTCTTTTTAAACGTTCATGTCTGGGTGCACATCTGAGTGTGTCTCGGTTGAAACCTCTCGTTTATAAACTATTTGCTATTTGTTGCGTAACAACTAACAACCAGTACTGCTTCTGACTCTTTACAAACCACTCTGGTGAAGTTTACGACATGCTTAATTTATTGAAACTTTCGCAACTTTCTCGCAGTAAATAATTTATATAAAAATTATTCAAACGTGAATAAAAACAATGGTGTGAATGTTTTTCCAAATTTTCAATTCTAGTGCGTTCATTTTTTCGTATTTTCGTACATCATCATTACAAATAAGAAAGATTTTGAACAAGAACGTAACATTGGAACATTGAATAAATATTTGAAGAAGCAATTTTTTGTTGTTGTTTAACAGCTAATGGTCTAATTCAGATATATTAAAACATTGGAGCTTCAGAATAAGCTTGACAATGTCCAAGTCATAAAATAGCATGCAGAACAGTTGAGTTCTAACGAGGTTTTTTTTTTGTTTGAAAACACTTCTTTAATAATGAAAAATTATTCCTGTGGGTATTGTTTGAATTGCATCAGCCTCGAATGTAGGTACCCGTCCATGTTTCAAGCACACGCACGCACACACGCACATACATACTCTTACACACGCACATACATACTCTTGCACGCGCATACTTTAACACACATACATGTACAGTACACGTATTCATTTGTTCAAGTTTACACTTCCTCTAGCAACACTGCGTTTATGTCATCAGCACAAGACTAGCAGTCAAACGCTCGTAGTCCGATATGCTTGCATATGTACCTATATTACTTATTCGTTACGTCAATATATGATAAAATATATTTATATATAATATATATATATACATTGACAACTGCATGCGTACCAAAACGTTACATAACTTTACACGCACACACGCTCGTAAGCTCACCACACTTAAACATACAGACTTTACATTTGCATCGACCGCATCAAAACAGTTCAGTGTGGAAAGATGCCTGCATTTTTCATTAAACCCAGTGCACACATACAAACACACACATAAAAACAAAACTAAATAAACAAACAATCGAACATACATGCAAACAAACAAACATACATACATACATACATATATATACATACATACATTCACTGAATAAAGTACATAAATACACATACATTTATAAACTACTAAGATGCGCACACATTGTTCATATGCGTACATCTGTATTTTGTGTGTTTCTTTTTTGATTTGATTGTTTAACATTTTTGATAATGTATGCGTGTGTGCATGTGTTTAATATAGCAAACTGTAAATCCGTGGCTAAGAATTTGTATGTTGGGTTTTTTCAAAAGAGAACCAACACGTCCAAACAAACTATCTGACTCTGGAAAACATCAATCAGACAAAAACATTTTGAAGTGTCAAACAGTCAGTCAGTTAGTCAGCCAACAAGTGAGCCAACGTAACATGCAACGAACAAGATGATAGCCAAAAAATGAACAACAACAAAACAACAACGAATAAATAAATTAGACAATAATAAATAAAAGTAAACAAGTTTTACAAAATGAATAAATGCAACCCAGTGCACACAACAAAAGTTAACTGATATTTAAAATGACGACACACATTAACAACAACAGAAAAACATCTAAAAGCACAAATAATCAGAAAAACCTATCAACAACAATGATCAACAACAATAAACAAACATCCAACAGCTATAAGTAACAGCGTATTGATCAACCACAGACACAATTAAACATTAAATTGTTCAAAAGTCTGCCGCACATAAACGTTTGGTCATCGAGATAGCTCAGTCGATAGAAGTGTCATGTCTGGCGCTGCTATTACACAATAGCATGGTTCAAACTTCAAATGCTGTCTGCCTGAAACTCAAAGACCATCATACGCGTATGATGCAGTGCTTGCACGTGCCTACATAATGTGTATATGCGTCGTGTGGTGTGGATAGTATAGTCAGCCTTATGGCACGAAAATTTTATTATAAGTTTAAAATAACATGTAAGCAGAGATGCATTATGAAGAATAAAAAAAGGTCGATAACATTGAAAAGCATATTGAGGCTTGTTGTGATTGGCTTCATGCAAGCAATTCTGCCTGTTGATAATTAATTAAAAACGTGTCGCTTTCTTTCGCCAAACGAGGGATTTTTTTATCGTTTCTTTAAAATGAAATGTTGCGTGTTGTTGCCTGTCACATTCACACACATCTATATTCACACGCACACACACATCAATAAGGTATACAAATTATTAAAATATATAAGTTAATATGATATACAAATCAAACAACATACACAAACAACAACAACATTTCCTAATTTCATCTTGAGACATCCGCAACAATGCACCCAAACTTCCACATAAAATTCATTTTGATTCACTGAGCAAACAAACAGACAGACAGAAAAAATTAAATGGAAGCACACCGTCAAATAACATGTTAGAGAAAGAAGCATGTATTTATTGAACCACCGTTCATGGGCATCTTCACTAATTACAGATCATGCAGCAGATAAACTGCGATTAACAGGAAATAAATAACTGGCACGATCATTCCAATCCTCCCAAACCTACTGCAATTTAAAATTTTAGATTGTATAGTTCCATTCCATTGAATTGCTGAATTGTATTGTTCACGTATTTTTGTATGCGTCAACAATGATCATATCAATTACATGTTGCCTGTCTAAATAATAAGACATTTTTTGAGTCTACTAAAAGTTGCATGTTTTATAAATTTTATTCTCTTTGTGAATGTATGTATGCGTGTGTTTGTTTATTGTTTTGTGTGTATGTGTTTGTTTATTGGTGTGTGTGTGTGGTGTAAGTAAATTGCTTTTATGTTATTACTTTATAAGTTTGCAGTATTCAACACGCCATCCAAGTTTGTATTGAAGTTGTATTGAGATTATGTTTTAAAATTTTCGAAAGTTTTAAAATTTCCTCTGCTTGAAACAATAGAGCAGAACATATGTTGAATGGACCAGTTTGAATCTTAATATACTTATAAATGTTTGATGCTGACGAACCCTCCAGAGATTGCAATGATGCATAGCTCATACGCTCCTGAACACATGCTTACTTCTTCCTTCAAATATGCATGTGATCACGCACAACATGCATGAAAACAAGCACACCAGGCACTCCATACACGTGATCATGCACAGCATCACGTGATCGTGCCCAGCATGCACGTGATCATGCACAGCATGCACGTGCTCATGCGCAGAATGCATGTAATCAAGCACACTATGCACAACTCGCACGTGATCAAGCCCAGCATGCACGTGATCAAGCCCAGCACGAACGTGATCACGCACATCACACTCTGCACCGGATCGAGAGCGCCCGCCTGCCCTATGACTTTTTATAAACATACTTTGATTGATAATAAAAATGGACTTCGAAAAGTAACCAGTTTCATTGCTTTTCTATCCTAGAAAAAATATCAAAAAATGTTGAAACACGTCAGTAACTTCAATCCATTTCATATAATCATCAATAAAAAATTAACAATGTTTAACTGACATAACCTATTTGAAAAGTTTCAAAATCTTACTTTGTTATTACCAACGTATTTAATTTAAGCAGTGTCAAAAATTGGAATAAAAATTACAAGCCAGAGAAATGTGAGCACTTGACTGAAGTTGGACACACCACATTTTGGTAGGAGCGCGTTGGTTTACATAATGAACCGAGAGATCTAATAAGAAAAATTATTTTTTATTCAGGCTTGTCAACTAACCATTTGATTGCATCTTAAAAGATAGAGTCCCTCGCTACCGATGTAATTGGTGTTCAATAAAAATAAATATCAGCACTACCGCTTTCGATCTAGAAAGAGGCGCTGCTTCGGTATGAAAAGCTCTGGTAGAATATTATGTGCACTGGGCTTGTACTTGGACAGATATTCAAGCGTACACGCGTATGTTTTTCATCAAACAGGGCATATGTACGATCGTTGCGTTGCTAACTTGACTTGATACCTTCAAATCTTTCACAAAATGAATTCAAGCAGGATAGGCCATATTGTAATAATTATAAACTCATAACTGCCTTCATTTTTTTTAATTAGCCAACTTAATCATGTGAACTCACATTAGTGAACATTTTTGAAATAGCACGGACATGAATTTATTAACATAAATAACTAAATTTTGTTTTTCTTGAAAAATATTTTTTAATCAGATTCTCCATTTCGTTTTCCAAAATTTTTCGGAGATGGATATTTAACTTTGCCTTTCACAAGAAATGGTTACAAAGAGTTCAGTGTGCTTGTCGAATTCAGGCCTGAACAAATCAGTGGGGTCCTGCTGTTTGGCCACGCTAACAACAGCCACATTTCTGATTTTTTTGCACTTCTACTTCGAGATAGTCACCTTGTCTTCAGGTAACATTGAAAACACCCACTGCTTTTACAGAAGTTTATTAGAATTTCGTTGTTTAATTCGCACTGATTAAAAAAACAATTTATTTAAAATTTTAAATCTGCATTCTGGTTTATGACAAAATAATTTTATGATTGAAATTAATTTTGATGTATATGTAGGAATATTTAAACTATTTGTATATATGTTTTAACTTAAGATTTGATTGTGGATCTGGTATTGGAGAAATAATTTCACACGAGCCAATCAAATTGATGCAGTGGAATTATGTCCTGATCAGGAGGCATAAATGGCATGCTTCCATGGTCATCAACAACTCGTCTGTTACCAGCGGAAAATCAAAGGTAGGTGCGCGTCGACATTTTTTCAACACGCATCTGCTTTAACGTTTCACCCCGCTCAAAATAGATAGATGATAATTGTTGAAAACAATTTTTTAACGACTTTTTAAATGATTGCGATTTTTTAAATGGTTTTTATAAAATTTTAATTTAACTCCAATAAAATAAGCTTGGCAAATATGTAAAACAAATTTATATAAAAATCGTTCAAGGGCAACTTCACGCACATAAACTTCTGCAAAAATGTGTACTTGGGAGGACTTTCAACACCAAATGAATCCTTAGTTGGAACGTCTTTGAACTTTCAAGGCTGTGTCAAAGGCTTAAGTTTAAATGGACAGCCGGTAGATTTGAGAACGAAAATGTTTGCGGGACACGCACTAGAAAGCAAGAACATTGGTTATAATTCTTTGTTGCAACAAGACAATACATTATCCATCATTATAAAATTTTATTCGTAGGGGATTGCAGTTCTCAAGTATGCAGAATGATAAAATGTGTGAACGGAGGATCATGTTATGAAAACGATATAGATAAATTTGTCTGCTTATGTCCGCTTGGCACAAATGGAGTTTTCTGTGAAAAAAGTAGTAAGCCTTTTAAAGAACTTGAAATATGATGTCAGTTATAACAAGCGGAAATCTCAGTAACTAATAACGAAATTAAACAATTAACTAAATTTGCATTTATAAGTCTAATTCAGTAATTCAGTGAAAAATATTTTGTAAATTCTTACCAGAATTTTAGTTTTTTTTAATAACATCTATGACTGTAACCAATAATCTCACTAATCAAGAGATACGTCTAAACACGCCCCGATTCACAAGCCTGTCCTACCTGCAGTTCATCGGACTGCAAAGAAATGTTCTTTCCTACACAGAAATAGATTTGTTATTTCAACCGTTTAACGAAACTGGTCTGATATTGTACAACGGTTATTCAAAGACAGGAATTGGAGATTACATAAGCATCTTCATGCTCGATGGGTATGTCGTCTATTCTTTCGACCTGGGAACGGGATCGCTAACTCTAAAGTAGGTCGCATCTAAAGCAGCCTCTTTATTTTAATATTTCGATAAAAATTCTTTTAAATTTAACTAAAATAAAAGTACCACATTCAAGCAAACTTATAAAATTGACAGAAGCAAAGAAAAGGTTGAATTAGGAAGGTGGCACGTCGTATGGGCGGTGAGAACAGGTAGGGAAGGTTTTCTTAAAGTTGACGATCAGCAGATGCTGGAAGGGGTGACAAGTGGAGCTTTCACGCAACTGACACTGACCTTGGACCTCTACATTGGAGGTCACCGCAATTTCGATGAAATCACTCAAAAAATTCAAGCCAGAAAATCATTCGAAGGATGTATTCAAAAAGTAAGAAAATATAACGTCACTTGATTGAAAGCGGTTGGCAATGACGTCTTAAAATAAAAATGTATTTCAATTGTCTTGTTGGTCAAAAAGTACACAATCTATTAAAAAATTGTGTGTATGAATACGACTTTTTATTTTCAAAGTTGTCTATAAACAAGAGGCAGATGAAACTGATCGAAGAAGCAAAAACAGGAATAAATGTAAAGAATTGCGAACACATGTGTGATAAGCATCCATGTTTGAATGGAGGAAAGTGCGTGCCGGACAAAGATAATTATGAATGTAGCTGCCTTCTAGGATATTCAGGAACCAACTGTAACCACAGTTAGTAAAACACGCTCTATAATCATTCAGTAAGTTGGAAGTTAGTAAACTGTGAACCTTTCTAACTGCAGATCTTATTGATCAACTAAAAAATCCATATTTTACTGGCAAAAGTTATCTTCTATTCATGGACCCTGACATAACCCAATTGTTAAGTATTTTCATATTTCATACATGAATTTATTAATACTATAGGTAAAATTACAGACGACACTTTTTGATTAATGTTAACAAGCAGTTTGTCAAAATTTTTAAAATTAGCCACCGATAATTTTGTAACATTCAAACATAAACACAATAATTTTTTAACAATAAATTTTTATTTTGACGTTCCAAAAAATTTCCAGGACGAGCGGAGATCGGATGAACTTAACAATAACATTCAGAACTGTATCAGAGGCGGGCATGTTGCTCTGGATAAGCAATGATGACGTCAGCGAGTACAGCGACTTTCTTGCCATTGGAATCAAGAACGGACATCTGTTTGTCACTTTCAATCTCGGAAGCGGTGAAATAACCATGTTCAATAACCACAGTAAAGTTAACGATGGCTCAAAACATACATTAACGCTTCAGAGGTCAGTATTTAAAGCCATCATTTTTTTAAATTTTTAATGAGTTAAAACTGTGTATCATATTTTACCTTAGAAGTTTTGAAATTTAAAGGTTAAAAAAGGTTTATTGTTATAAATTCATAAAAAAAACTTCAGATATCAAAAATCAGCCTCGATGAATGTCGACTTCATGTATCTCGTGAAAGGCTACTCTGAAGGACCAATGACACAACTGACAACTCACGGCTCCCTTTACATTGGTTAGTCTAATTTGTCTAAAAAATTACGTCCGACCGTACCAACTTAAAACACTATTTAATAGTTAACAGTTTCCTTTTAAAGTGAATAAAAAATTTCAAATAAAAAGTTGAACTCTACAAATATCCCGTTATAATTTTTTTGGCTTTGAACATGGCGTAGAGGATTGTTTTTATTACTTCGTGTTAGTAATTTTGACATCGGAAAATTTCCAATATACCGGTAATTCATCAGGTTTTGAAAAATTAGTGAAATGTTGAGAAAATAGCGGGAAATTTATGGAACATCAAACAACAATTTAGTATCGATGATTAACATTGGTAACAAAATAATTAATTACCGACTGGATCAGGAATACTGATGCACACAAGGTGCAACAACCTCAAGTTTAACATACATGTATGCTGGGGTGACTGATTATAGACCATGTTTAGATAGGTCAGTTTTGTGTTAATTTGCGTAACAACGCGGTCATAGCATAGCACAGCTAATTCGAAATAAAAAATCGACGATTAGTTCATGACATCATGATGATGGCCTAAGTGCTGCTTAATCGTAAAAACTAGCTCATGATTAAAAAATGTTTTAACCGAAAATTATTTTCACAGGTGGCATGGACGACATAACATTCAAAACATTCTACAAGTTTCATTCCGGATTTATAGGTTGCATATCAGACCTATCCTTTCTTCCAACTAGGAGAGTTAACTTAATAGCCGAGGCAGACGAAGGGTTCAACATAAAAGAATGTGACTGACTTGACGCTCCGTGAGAACGGCCATTTTCACAAAACAATTTTTTATTATTCAGTATGTTATGTGTGTTGAATGTGTTCGATGGATGACGGAAAACAGTTTCCGATAACAAATTAACACATTAAATATGATTTTGGCGATTTGCTTATTGAACGATCGAACTGAAAACTAACGGTGGTAGACCACCGGCGGTAGACTAAAGTTTAAAAAATAAAAATTTGCGACTTAAAAATGCTTCACGCAAAAATATCAAGTCCCCAATCCTCATCCAATTTCGTTAACGAGCGTATAAGGAATAAACAACTTTTACTTTAAGATAGGTCTATCAACTAAAACTTCCAGAATCGTTCGATGCTGATTTATCATCCTTTACAAGTTGTTTATCTGTTTACGCTTGTAACTGTTTTTGTTTGATTAAAAATTTATTAAATAATAATTTAGAACTATTACTTGAGAAATGTTAAACGTGGATAACATTCCAAACGTCGAATACAATCAGTCTCTCGTGATAATGTGTGACTGATAAAGAAAGAAAAACGACTAAACTGCCTGTTAATCAACAGCGTTTATTATCAGCACCAAAATGACATCAACGCTGATGTTGAAATGACATCAACTTATGTTGAAGCCATCGTGACATCAACGACACTCCTGTCATTATCATAATCATATATGATTATCGTGATCACTGCTTCTCACCTCCTCCCCAAATCCACTTCTTAAAGTAGCCAGTCAGTCCACCTTGAGTCTTTTTCTGTTCCAGTCGATCGTCCAATGATGGAAAGTCAATAGAACTGAGGGCGAGATCAAAGAAGAACGGCTTGGCAGGGGTGGGTTCAAACTCGGGTGGTAAGTTGACCAATGATGTTTTCTTAACGTTCCCACCAACTTCAACATATTCATGTAGTCGTTCAATCAGTGGCTGTCGTGTGTTTATACTTATTTTTCACCATTAATATAACCAAACTTGCAAGAGAAATGTGAGCAAATGTTTCTTCGACACAGCATAAATTAAATTTTAGGTCAAATGAAATAATGCGGCAAAAAAAATTAAAGCAACCTTGTTGCAGCTGCTTAGTGATACTTTTGTGTCAGGTTCATTCTGTCCATCAAGTATGCTGGAAGCTCTGATAAAGTACTTCAGACCGTCAACGTTCGACATCAACTCGCGCAATTCTTTGCTAAGCTTTGTTGAAATCACATTCAATATAATCAACATCGCCATGACCAATAAGTCGCCACAAACTTAAAACTACATTCACTCAAAAGCTTGTATGTTTTTATTGCGTGGGGATCAAATCAAATGTGTGGCAACCGTAGTATAATACGACGGATGATCTAAGCCTAAGCCATAACAACTAAAAATGTGGAGCTGAAAAAATTGCTCCCTAGATAAAAGCAAAAACCCACATAGATAGGTTGGCACAACTAAAAGTGCGCCTGCACAGAGCTCAGCATACAAATACAAACACTTGAAAATATTTAACGAGGCGACGTGACGTCAACAATGCAAACAAACAAAAAACACACCGACTCCTTCTTTGTGTTTTCTATCGAGGTTTTAAGAAGTTGCTTCAAGGACATCTGAGCATATAGAACTGACCTGTCGTATAAGGCTAGGGCTTCTTTGTATTTTTTCAAATACTCATAAGTCTGAGCCACATGAAAACATCTTCAACAGAAAAAATTATTTAAAAATGAGAATCATCGAAATGAAATTTTGCTGCTATATGCAGAACGTTTTCATTAATGGGATGCAAAAATGATTTTGTATGAAACTTGCATATTTTTTATCAATCAAGCTAATTCAGAAGCTTACATAACAAAAAACAACCTCAAAAGATAAAAACTGATAGAAAAAACTTATTTAAATATCACCATTAGGTTACTCGAACCTCATCTGTATGCTAAAGCAGAGGTAAACCAATTTATTTTTTAATAAAATCCTTATATCACATTATATACTGGATTTATAGATTTATCGATGGCGAAACATTAAAATTGTCGGGCATGACAAAAATAATAATAAGATACATTCAGCAGTAAGCATTCAGCTGAAGAGAAAACCTGAAAGCCTTGTAAGCCAGTATCTGAGTATCAACTTCCTTCAGGAATGCTTCCTTATCCTCAAGTCCTGGCAACTGACCGATCTCTGACAAGTTCTTCAGAATGAAAAAAGAGATAATTGAAAAATGATCATCGGTATAATTACCCATTCATTCGTTTTAATACTTGGTAATTTGCCTTAATTATGTAATTCGTACAAAACCTTTGGAAAAAGTTCTTTTAAACTATCCTTTTGTTGAAATTCTATAACAATATTTGCAGTGCTCGCTAGAAAATACAGATTTACTTTCTTATGACAACAAGCAAAGTTTAATATACTAATAAATACAACAAGAAATCAAAACATAGAAAGATGAGAGGAAGAAGACTCACCTGGATGATGACATCATAAAGTCGAGCAAGATCCTGCGGCTTGGTTTTTTTGCTTTCATCTGATTTAAGTAAACTGATCATGAGTAGATTCCTTTCAGTGGTTGTTGACTGCCTCAGGTAGGCCAGGTAGGTGTGCAGATAAACTGATGATGGCACTTGTCCCTCCACCGGCTTCATCTTGCTGATTAGAGCCTTAAAGATCTGGCGAGTGGCAAATAATAAAATATTAGTGAAGGTAAATACAAGGCAAAAACACGCTAAGTAATTAAAAGAAACTAAAATAAAAACTGCTAGAAATGTTTGCCATGTTAAAACAACCATTCTTAAAAAAATACATTTTTGATGACTTTGTGAATGAGCAGAAAAGAGACAAACTCGTGAACGCACAAACTTACCAACCCCGTCATCTTTGAATTCATCCTTATGGGACTGTTGGGCCTCGATGATTTCCTTCAAGAGACTTTCGTACATGGAAAGTTTCTGTTCTGCACCTGCATCTCTCAGCTGGTTGGAACTTTGCTGCATGCTCAACAACAACCTGCGTACCTGTGCAGTGCAAGCAGGCATTCATTACGCATACAAACATTCATGCGTACACAAATCCACCAATTCAAAATGAATTTCCTCAGTCTCTTTTTTTAAAGGAAATATCAGTTGGTAGGATTGAAGCATCTGAAAGATAGAAAGACAAAATCATATTTCGCAGGTGCCATGCTCCTCATCAAACAATCAAAACCACACTAGCAGCGAAACCAACTTGAATGTTCTTGACAGGAATAGTTCTGGCGAGCCAGGTCACCTCAGATAATGAACTGGACTGCTTCTCCCGAGTCATCTCTATCAACTCCTAGTAAATGCAGCACTTTTATTTATCAGTGGAAAGAATATCACAACAAAATACGACACGTTTGCAAACAAATATTAAGAAGTGAATGACGCTTATATATTATATTATAAATATCATATATTTTTAAAAAAATGACACCAGTTATTAACACCTTTTAGAATTTGAGAAACACTTTTAAATAAAACAGTGCAAAAATAAAATTGATTGAATGATTGATACATAATTAAATGGTCAATTTAATAATGCAGCCTGCAGACAAAAATTGTACTGATGCAAAACTGCGTTAACAGAAAATGAAATGAAAGTGAAAAAATGGCGTTGGACTGAGACAAAAATGACTTGGAGCCTAAAAATAAGAAAACCAAAATGGACTCCACTGTCGTCAATATTGCCATGCTAACGAAGGTTATTCACTTATTCCCAATTCATAAAAATTGTTTATTGCTAAGAGATTGAACGATGAATGCTAAGTTAAAAAATGAAAGGATGTATTGTATGTACAGAGTTGTATATTTATTATAGTAATGTATATTTCACCATGTCTACATTCGGTGCTATACGTTAATTGCTGAACATTTTTATAATTTTAATTCTATTTATTCATTACTTCTATCATGTGTGTTTTCACAGAGATCATACAAGTTAGAAATAACCTCTGATCAATGGTAATAAATAAATGAATAATTAATTAACTATAACAAACTATTTTTTAACTTTGAAGCAAAAAACGGACCATAAAGAAAGAGACGGAAAAGGAAATGTTCAATAGAAAAACGACGCAGAACAATTAGATAGACGTGTGCGAAGTTATCGAATGGTTTCAAAATCCATCAATCATCAATGATACAACAGGAATGCTTGATGCACGGACATGCCAAATTTGTCTATTGATGATGAGACGCAATTTTGCAAAGTTTGAAAGTCTCTTGGAGGGGAAGTCATTTTTTGATTCCATTGGTGCTAACGTCATGCACAGAACACGAACAAGAACCAATCCTTACGAAACTTACGGAAGCATCAAATCCAGTTTGCTTCTGAACAGAGCAGCTGTGAAGATAGCGAACATTGACGTGGTATTTGATTACATGTTCACATCACCAGGCAAGGACATCTCGCTTATTGGCAGAGGCGAACTGCTAACATTTGCTGACATTTGTCATGTGCAAGTATGCAGAACCAGGAGACTTCAGCGAATACATGCTCTGAGAAGAAGGGTTATGTCAGAACTTTGGCTTCACTTTAAAATGGGAATATAATGTTAAATTAAGAGAAATCACCATAGAACTCCTTAAAATGTTTGAGGCCCATTATGGAGTAGGCGGTACCGAAGGAAATGGTGATATTTACTATGCAAATAACCAAGAAGCTCTTGAAGAATTTGTTCTGTTGGGAACATAAGGTCGGGGAGTGTATGTTGTTTTATTTGTTCATTTAATTCAATTTATTTATTCGTTTTCAAGTTGACAATTTTAATTAATATTTGTTTATTATAAAACGATCTCATTAATTAACACAATTTATTCATCCTCTTCATAGACTTAGGATAGAAGGCCAAGAAAACATACAAGAAATATTGTCGGAGAAGTTCATTGTGTGCCTGTCAATTCTAAGGAAGCCAGGAAAATTCGCATGCAAACTTTTTGACGTGTCCACAGAATTCTGTGCTGGTTTGATCTTTTCAATGTCTCACTGCTTCTGACAAATCGATATTTTAAAGCCTGTTACGAATAGGCCAGACAATTCAGAATGATACATCATATGAGACGGTCTCATCTAAACAAAACTTTGGATATATAAAATTACAAGAAGATGAATGAGCAAATGGCATTGTCAAATTTTAGAGACAAACAGATGATTGGATGATTAGCAGCATGATTTTTTAGGAAATCTCTGAAGAATTTTTTAACTATTGTCCAAGTGAACCACTTCTAAAGAGAGAAGCAAAAATTATCGCTTTTCAAAATGAAAACATTCATCGAAGATGGCAACCAACTTGATCCACGATAACCGATGTGAAAAAAATTGCAAAAATGGAAGATCCCGGACAAAATAAGAAATGAAATATCGCACTAGACAAATCAATGTCCACAAACGATACCGCGATTCAATGCAAACTACATTCGATCGGTCAACAAAGCCACTCACACCTCGAACATAAACGACATGAAATGTCTGCTAATGGCGCTTGAAAACAACCATGTACACGTAAAAGAACAATTGACATGGGAGCGGTTGTTGAACATGAGAACACGGTCCCATATATTGAAATTGTTGAATAGCAACGGGGAGAACTAAGTCGATTGGTAAGTTGTTTCAGCAGATTTGTTGATGGAGCGATGGTGAATAAATGATGAATGAATGATTGATTGATTGATTGAATGATCATTGATTGAATGATTGGCAGACGAATGGCTGATGGATGAATGATTGGTAGGGCTGATGAATGAATGAATGTACGATGGATGAATGATTGGTAAATGAATGGTTAATGAATGAAATAATGATGAATGAATGATGACGAATGAATCATTGATGGATGAATGATTGATAGATAAATGAGAGATTGAAGTAAAATTTATTTCTGCTTATTTTTATTCTAACACATTTTTTCCGAATTTTCAGAACAAAGGCGGATTGAAAGCGAACACGATCCACATGTTTGATGTCATCATGTGGATCGGCCAAGGCATGACGGGTTTTTATTTTGTGCCGAAAAATACATTTGGAGCTGCTGAACAATTTCAGAATAAAATGTAATGAAGAAAGTGAAATTACGAACATCCAGTTTAGAAGTGAGAGGATCTTCATGTGTGATGTTCAGTCTCATCTGCATGAGATCTTCAACGGCACTGACATCACCAATGTTGTATTCACAGTACCTGATGTTTGGAACCAGTTCGGCACACCTCTGTATGTAGATTTCCTTGACATCTCCTGCTACAGCCTCTGACAACTTCTCACAGATCACTCTGCGATGTTTGTGTAAAAATATTTGATCAATCAATCAATCAATCAATCTTTGTTTTGCGTCCAGAGACCCGGTTTCCCGAGGTAGGGCGTAAAAATATTTGAAAAATATTTGACAAGTTGGAAATAAAAATAAATACAGAACAGAATTATTCTAATATTTCTGACGAATGAAGGAAGTTTTAATAACAAATATGCAAGTGTGTTAAAAATATCATTCTTGACAGCAGTTTTTAAATTTGATATACTTTTGAAACAATTAATAAATATTACAACAATTCTCAAAAAATTTTTTTAGAAATAAACACCAATCTAACTTAGATTTTATAAAATTATCTAAGGCCACTTTCCAATGCTGCAACTCAAAGTTTAAAAGACCATGCATCCAAGAACAGTAAGCCTGCGTTGGAGATTGTTTCATCATATTAATCACATTGTCATTATTCCAACAAAACTTAATAAGTAAAAAAAACTGACAATATGCAAATTGATGAATTTTAGAATAAAAAATCCCCAGATCAGTCTAAAAAATTACTTTAATAATCTTCTAGCATTTTAAATTATGAAAAACATTAAAATGTTTAAAATAGCCACCAGTGATTTCCATAACCAAATTAATAAATGAAGTTAGTTAACCAGCCTTGACTTCAAGATTGGTCCTTGCATCACAGTTGGCCTGTTCATCAGCAACGACTTTCTGGAGATGGTCAGCATGGTGAACTGCCTTCTTCAATCTGTTCATCATGTGGAAATGCTTTCTCGGCTCTGTGTTTGCCTCCGATTTCAATTGCATAGCATATGCCCATGACCTTTCAGCCTCCATCAATGGTATGTACAAACATCTGAATAGTAAGAGTAGCTACAATATTCATCTTTCGTAAAAATAGAAAGACTTTTGATTTCAATATACGTACCATGATTCTCATAAACAAAATCTTTAAAAATAAATGTAATTAATATATTTTCCAACAGAATGAGAAATAAGATGCATGCAATAAAACAAGGTGTGGACTCACTATCTTGAAACTATGTTTATTTAATAAAACAATTTAAATGTCGATGTAAATATTTTATTGTTAAACCTTTGATCCTTCAATGTCTCCGCGGTTATCTTCCTCGGCTGAACTTTGTGCTTGGTTCCTTGTTGGAAGTTCACAACCTTTCTTATTCTCCTCAATTTCCTGGAACAGTACTGCCTGTAATCAACATAATTTATGATGTTGTCAGTTCACATGGTTGAATAAATAATAAGAAGTGATTAAACTTCATAATAATTACATGCCTATATCTTTGAAAGTCTCCGTGTCTCAAGCCATGTTGTTGCTGCACATCTTTCACCACTTGCAAAACTAATTGGAAAGTCATTAAATCTAAAATGAATGAGACTAAAAATAAATGTTAAACTAACAATTTACATAAAAGCATATGTTGAATAGTCAGTTAGTGCAATGAACCTGTTCAAACATGTGAAGCAGAGTTTTTGACATACATTAATGATTAACTTAATAATTTTTTATATATTACGAGATTTTTGAATGCCTGATTGTACCAAGGACTTGTCTCTAATACAGCTGATGTTATATTATAAAAATTTAGATTGAAAGAGCATAAAGATAGAGAAAAAATTAATTACTTTAAATTTTTTAAATAAATCTTTATAAAATATAAATGTTATGTACAAAAGTTGAGATTATCAAAAATTTGAATAGTCAAAGTAACTGACGAATTTGATGAATTCAGTTAAATATTTTGATCAGAAATCAGATTTCTTCCCTAAACTGAACTCTAACTAAAACCAATTACTAAACTAATCGGTAATGCTGGTAATGTAATGTAATGGTAATAAATACCTAACTAAAAGTAATAATCTATTAAATAACTAAAATGTCTTAGTCAGCTTACCTTACATTTTTGGCAAAACCACCCTTTTATTTTAGACTAAGTTAAGTTATTAACTAGAAACAAACTATTCTATTTTTCACTTTTACAGTTAACAGTTAATTAAGACTTACACTTAAGTTAACTTGTTTCTTAATTCCTTTTTTCTTGGATCATTTGGTTTCCTTCTTAACCATGAAAAGTAGACAAACGATGCAACGATTATCTACGTGAATGTTAATCACTGAAGCCAAATAACTAAAAAGAGCCACCTTCAAGAGATACACATTCCGCTGCCTCCCGTTCAGACGCCTTCACCAAATTCGGGTTAACATTTTCAACATATTGCGAATCCATGACACGAGAATGGTAAATGGTGGTAGGGATGGACGGTTTTACTTAGCTAAGTTCATTTTTAACATTTCAGTCAGATGTGAAAGAAAACTTGATTTGCACATTTACACCATGTATGTTGTACATTCAGTAATTTTTGGGGTTTTGATTATGAATGTGCCTGTCTTGGTGAAAATTTGACAGTGATCTAACATTAGAGGCTAGCGAACCTATCAGTCAGTCAGTCAGTCAGTCAGTCAGTCAGTCAGTCAGTCAGTCAGTCAGTCAGTCAGTCAGTCAGTCAGTCAGTCAGTCAGTCAGTCAGTCAGTCAGTCAGTCAGTCAGTCAGTCAGTCAGTCAGTCAGTCAGTCAGTCAGTCAGTCAGTCAGTCAGTCAGTCAGTCAGTCAGTCAGTCAGTCAGTCAGTCAGTCAGTCAGTCAGTCAGTCAGTCAGTCAGTCAGTCAGTCAGTCAGTCAGTTAGTCTCTCAGTCAGTCAGTTAGTCTCTCAGTCAGTCAGTTAGTCTCTCAGTCAGTCAGTTAGTCTCTCAGTCAGTCAGTCAGCCAACCATCCAATCAATCAATCAATCAATCAATCAATCAATCAATCAATCAATCAATCAATCAATCAATCAATCAATCAATCAATCAATCAATCAATCAATCAATCAATCAATCAATCAATCAATCAATCAATCAATCAATCAATCAATCAATCAATCAATCAATCAATCAATCAATCAATCAATCAATCAATCAATCAATCAATCAATCAATCAATCAATCAATCAATCAATCAATCAATCAATCAATCAATCAATCAATCAATCAATCAATCAATCAATCAATCAATCTATCTATCTATCTATCTATCAATCAATCAATCTATCTATCAATCAATCAATCAATCAATTAGTTTATAAAACGCTATTTCCGCAATGTTCAACAGCCCTCTTCAATGAATTTTGAAACAGATGAGTCTTGAGATCTGCTCTGAACTTCGCAAGTGATGGAGAAGTAGTTAGAGGAGGTAAAGAATTCCAAAGAAAAGGATCAGAAAAAGCAAATGCAGATTTAACAAAAAAGTGTTTAACCCGAGTTAAGAAGGAGAACAAGAGGACAGTTAGGTTCAATTAATATAGTTGATATGTATTTAGGAAATAATTTAAGTTGAAATTTATACATTAATGTATAAATTTTAAAAATTATTTTATACTTTATAGGTAGCCAGTGCAAGAGAACAAGATATGGATATGAATGAGAAAAGAAAGAGGCACGAGCAACTAGACGAGCAGCGGAGTTAAAGGCTATCATTAAAATATGTATGATTCTAAACATTGTCATTGAAAACTTGCTTTCTTCATACTATCTTTTTTTAAAAACTTTAATTTTTCATAAAAATCACCTCTAACTTTGTCATTCTTAATTGTCATTCAAAACTTGTTTAAACCATTGAATTACGTATAGGAAGTGAAATAAACCATTTGATCTGAACGTTGACCTGGAAGCAAATACATCATTACACTGTGTTGGTGTACTGTTAACGATCACTCGCTGGAGTCTCTTCGCATCAACTGTAACAGATGCGTGACGTCAACGTGTAATAGGAGAAATACGATGTGATAGGACAATTCCAGTTCAAAATTTTATAGTTTCATTTATTTTTTCCTATTATAAGTTTTACAGAATCTATTGTACCTATTTGACAATTGACAATTATCTCATTTCTGTTATAAAATTATAAGTCTGCTTTCTATCTTGCAATCTGGCTATGGAGCTGTTACACTGCCAAATATTTTATGTATTTATTTACGCATTCAGCAGATCGCAGTACCTAAGTCTGCCCTTGCAGATTATTTTTAGATATCATCAGTGGCAAATTTAGGAAGGGAGGCTGGGGGGGTGTTTTTCTATCGGAAAAGGTAGTTTTTTGGAGCAAAAATTGACATTACCAGAAAAGTTGAAACCCCCGTCACAATGTTGGCCCCTCCCGCTGAACATCGAAAAATTTCCGAAAAAATTTTGTGAAATCCTCCCATCCGGTCATCAAACATTTATTTAAAAATTCCCCCTCCCCCAATCGTCAACTAATAAATGAATTTTTAAAAATTTTTTAAATATTTTTGAAAATCTTACCTTCCCCCGTCAAAGTTGTTTAGATCCGCCACTGGATATCATTCTAAAATCAAATGGCGTTTTGATATTTACAATATATTGCCTTTTGTTAGTACATGCTTAAAATTGTGAAGCTCAGGTACAATGTTGTTTTAAATGTTAGCTATAAAAGCTAATCGCTACCATGAAATTATAAACAATTTTGTTATGCATGTGTTAAATGTTAAACTAAATTTTTTTAATTTCGTCTATCTTGATCGCTTATTTAGAATATTTTTCAAGATTGTGAAAATTTTTTTATTAACCCGGTTCATCGAAAATGATTGATTTTTAAGGTTGATTCACGAATTTGTGAAGTCGATGGAGTCCAAATTGTGTACCAGTTCTATGAAAATCAATTTAATTGACAATAAATATGAATGAATTTGCAACATTAATAAGAAATTAAATTATTTAAGAAAAAATTGTTTATTGAAAATGTGAAAATTTGTTTTGATGGGGTGAATGAAATGTTGACAACATAACAGAGAGGTCTTATAGAATCGAGAAGAGCGAGACAAGTGGCAAACTACAAAATTCTTTCATTCAATTTTTATAAACAATTTTTCAAATTTTCCTAATGATTATGTTTGCAAATCCTAAACAGTTATTTGATGGGTTTTGAAAATTGAAAATTTTCAATTACGTCGACAATAAGTTAACGAGGAAATGGAAGACACTACTACTGTAGTAATTTCTATGCTATTTTTATTATAAATAATTTATTTCTTGCAGTAGATGAAATATTCTTATAAAATAATTTTGGTGTCATGGTTGTTTAAAATAATAATTACTTGAATTAGGCGTAAATGTTTGGAATAAATTGACAAGAAAATTTAACGAAGCAGAAAATATCATCCCTTCAACTTTTCCTTTCGCCTCTATATTAGAAAAATTACAAAGCAGCTTGTTTGTTGTTTCTGTCGTTTGTGTTGTGATTATTTCGTTGTATCGTAATTCCGGAAATTAAAAAATGCAAAAAAAATTTGATTTAATTTTACGAAAAATCAATTGAAATTTTTTCATCAGATTCTTACACTTTTCGTTTCCTTCTGCTTTATCGTCATCATCATCATCGTCTTCGTCACTTCTTGGACTTTTAGGGAACTCGTTGGTGTAAAATGCTTTGGCTTGCTCTTTGAACGTTTTATCTGCAATTGAAACATGTGACAATCAGTATCGACATGGTAAACATAATTAGGTAACTGTTAATTTGAATGTGTCTTAGATAGTGTTGTTAGTTAACGTCCAATGTGCCAATCCTAGAATGGTTACTACTTTGGCGACAAAAAAGTGCCATTTGCGCAAAAAATTAAAACATTGAATATATCAAGTTTATTTTAGTTTTTAAATGCATGAAAATCTTCATAATGACTTGTTTCACAAAGGTCTGCCTGATTATGAAATTTTATTTATTTCACCAATCTTGTTTCATTTTTTCATTTTCAAGTGCAATCATATCTTAGAAGATGCAGAGTACATGTAGGTACAAGTTGTAAGTCTTGATCGACTGGTCGAATAAAACTACTTGCAGAGCTTTTAATCAAAAAGTTTTCAAATGAAGTTAAGACTCTGAGAGCAACTGCTCTAAGAAAGTATCACGTGTTCATTGTTCAAAGTGTTTTTCTCCATGAACTAAGTTAATTTTCCAACAGAAAGAATTGTGAAAATATTGTGCTTTTATCATATTAAGTTCTTTATTTACATTCAAACAAGTTTCAATAGAGTGAAGTTAACGAAATTATTAAAAAATTAGACGAAGCTCAGAAAGTAGAATGAACAAGCAGCAGGGATACATCGGGCACGTGGTGGATTGTCGCAAAAAGAAAGCAGATAAAACTGAACGAAGCGTAAACAATCTTGATACGGCCCACTTTCAATTCGTTAACAGACATTAAAGTTTCGGCAACGATTATATCGATGTTAAAATATAGCACATCAGTGCTGCTAACAACCCTGTCATTAACATCTTTTTTTATTAAAAATTTTGGTTTTATATTTTATTATGTACTTATTTTCATTGTTATGTAAAGCATATATTCAAAAATTGGGACAAAACGTCTCAATACTAGCAACAGATTTTTCACTTGAGCTCGACTCGTTGGACCTTCTAATGTCTAACTGTGCCAGCCTGTTAAAGTGTGTCAGGTGATTGAGTATCAATCACTTTTTAAAATAATTCTGCACTGATCGAGTAAGAAGACGAACCTGTTGACCAGTTCACTGGGATCCACTCCTGGCACACCTCTTGGGTACGGTGTATCCGGATCGTTAATTTTTTGCAATCCATACGTTTTGTTGGCCGGATGATACGTTTCCGTAATATTATCTTCATTCCACTTTATACCGGCGGGAGATTTTTTCTCATTATGTCTGTGTAAAGTTTAAATCCAAAAAATTATTCTGAGTTATTCTACATGATGAAATCAAAATATGCTTTTGAATTTTATTTTAACACTGTTAAAACTATATGTTAATATATTATATTATCGGCAGTGGCTAATCAGGGTCATTTAATAGCAACTTTTTTATTCTTTAAAAAATCAGAATCTGACTGCCAGACGCAGAAACTGTTGCAACATGTAAGGCAATATAAAATTAAATAACGGAGTAAGAAATTTTAAAATAATAGCAGTCAAATGTCAATTCATAAGTTTATATTGAAACTGTGTAACCTTCCAAAGGTTATTTTATCAGAACTTAAGCTATTTTTAGATTTTTTCTGAAGATTTGTTAGCACATATTTTTAATTGTTTTATAGGCTATAACGTATAGAACATCATTGTCAAAATGAGGATGGCATTGATGAATAGAAAAGCGATTTAGCATCTTCTAATTCAATTTTGGTCAAACATTGTGTTTGTGTGGTTTTGGCAGCGGATATTTTTGGGCGGCGAAATTATAAACTAAAGTTTTTTTTAATTAATTATTTTGAAAATGTAATTAAATTTTAAATCTAAAATAATATGAGTTCATTGCTTTTCTACGTCACTATACGTCACAGATATGTCACTACGGATTTTGATACATCAAATGGTTAACCACCGAGTGGAAAATTACAATAATGTGTAATTTAATCTTAATGTAACGAATAATAAACTTCTCAATTATTCTCGTGAATAAATCATAAAAAGAATAACTGAAATATGTTTTAATTATCGTACTTAGGTACTTAGGCTTACATTTTAATAAATAACAAAATAATTAAATTAAAGAATAATGAATGGAACGGAATGAACTACATTTTTACCGGTAAAAAGTAAAACGTAACATCATTGGTTGAATACCTGAAGGAATGATTCCAGACAGCATGCCATTTTTTGGCAACCAGATGTACAAATTTGTAAAAAAATCTGGCATTTTAAAATCCAGTCCAATGTATCTTTAGTCACATGGACGAGCAGAACGCAGGACCCGGACTGTACTAAACCTTTTTAAAAAACCTATGACCCATATATTGCACTTATACAGTACCGAAATGCTCTTTTGGCAGGACTTAATTTTAGTCCAGCTGCCGATGAGTCAAAAATCAAGCTGCCGACAACAAGCCAGAACTTACGTTCAAAGGTTTTAGATGCAAGACAAAAGAAGTATCAGGATCATAAGTCGTTAGCCTCTTCCAAGTTTAAACGAAGGTAATGTAATGCGCATGTATCACAATGGAATATGGAGGCGTGGAATTGTTTGCTTTACATAGCTATCTCCAACATCATATATTTCAGCTTATATACTGAACCGCAGAGATTGTATCTACACCAAAGAAGATCCACCTATTTGCAGGCCACCAGTAGATGATACCACAGACTGCCCTCAACTTTAAAAGACTACACCACCACAGAGGTCGAAATCTCCGTGTTTCCCTCAGTGCGACAGTCCAGAAGATGACACCACTGGTTCTACTCAAGAATCCACCCTGAAAACACGGAGTAGACGTACATCAAAACATCCTGTTAGATTCAATGACTATGTTCTCAACTAAAATATTTGGTCATATAAAAACATAAAGATTAAATTTTTAAAGAGGGATATGTGATATATACGTTTAATATACATTGTATAAGTATTTTATGTATATGAGTATAGTAGAAAAACTGAGTGTGATCACGACCATATACTTAGAAAAATACTCATAAGGGTACTGGTCCTCGAACGCACCTGCGCATATTTTCAGTGCGCTTTCGGGTCTGATGTCATTCTTTATTTTCAATGAAAAGTTTATCAAATTTTACAATTTTTATTTTTTATGGTTTATTAATAATTTACATTTATTCTAAAAAAAATTTTATTTATGATTATTTTTTATTTATATGTATCTGCATAATATTTCAGCCTATTTAGTTTTTTTGTCTAGTGTCTTATAAATCTGATAATCAAAACTAGAAGAAACTGACCCTGATGTTTTTGAATTCATTTTCAAAATTCCTCCGTCTGTTGTCGTTATTTTGTTCTTTTTGTTTTTTTTGTCGGATTTTTCCTTTTCTTTATCATTTTCAGACATTTTTCGTCGGAAACATTTCTTTTTATGTTTATATTAGTGTTTTTGTTTATTTTCATTCGTGACGAACCTGGAGGTAAAAGTTAATATTTTGAGTTTCTTATTAAACTTCTTTTGTTGACAGAAATTTGAAATTCAGTAACAGTTACACTAAATCTGTAGCTGAAACCATGCTAATAGAAACATTTTGCGGAAATTCGGAGAGGTTCAACTATGTCAACTTAAATTTAAAAGGAGGGAACTAGCGTCGACTTCAGAGTTCTCGCATATACTGTATGCCGTATAGTAAATTCTTTTTTTCAAGTCTTACGACATTTTTTATGTGATAGTCTCTTATGTCACTAGACAACTTTGACAGTGTATCCTTGATGTTACTTTTAAACTCATGAAAATATCATTGTTTCAACGCAAGCAATCCTAAACGGGCACAACTCTGTGTTCAGTTGCTAGTTCTCTTTAATTAAACCAATTGTTTTGCCACCGATAGATCAATACAGTTGTTTTTAAAGTGAAATGAAACTTTTTTTCATCAAGTCTAATAATGTTTTAAAACTTTTTATTTTAATGTCCGGTTAAGCAAGTATGCCAGATTTAAAAAACGTTCCAGAATGATCCAGCATTTACCAAATTATCAGGCGACTGTATTACAAACAGAGGCGCACAAAGTTCGAGCAACGTTTTGTCACACCATTGTCGTTTAAATGGCGGAAAGTTTTTGAAACATCTTAGGAAATATTTAACGATGATCTAAACTGAACTTCAATAATATTTTTTGAAATCAAACATAAAAAACAAAAAAATTAGCGACAATAAAAACAAAGACTGTTAGAAGTTATTTGAACAAAACAGTGTGTAGCATGGCTCCCAGGCACTGCACGATGTTGGAGGTCATAAGAATGTTCACATGCTCTTCTAAATGACGTTTTGGATCCTGAAATCAATCAATTATTTTCTATCAATTTCCCCATTTGAAAATAAAAATTGTTACAAAAATTTTTATACAAGTTAGAAACATAAACAATCAGTAAAAAATAAACTAGAACGAATGACACAAACTGCGTAAAGATAAATTTTGACATATTTAAAATATTAAGTCTGTGAGGCTAAGTGCATTGTGCAATAAAAATGCTTTGAAGGCGTTCAATTTGATCAACAGTCACATCACAAAACACATCACCCACATGCAATAACATTGATCATCATCAAAACATAACAAAACATAAGCTAACCTGCTTTCCAACATTTTTTATTGCAAGTTGTTCCAATGTCATCTCCTCTTCTTCCTCCAAAGACTGAAAATTTAGAAGTTAAATGAAACAACGAGTTTTGGGATTTAACAGTAGTAATATATTCATCAATTTAAACCACAATCGTTCGGCCCATCAAATTTTTTACATTAAGTCGTGCTGTCATGAAATCAAATCACCGACCGATCGGTCTATTAAATTTTATTAATTTTAGTTATTCGTTAATGAAAAATCTATTTTTTTTTGGAAAATATAACTTGGAAATTACTTTGTTATAATTTTTAGCAAGTTCCAACATCTCTTTTACAGTGGCTTCGTTGTTTGAACAATGCGTTGAGTACTCTTGCAACGTCAGTCCGTCCATCCAACTTTTCTTGTGCAAGTTCAGCAGCATCTGTCGACATTGTTAGTTGCGTTGGGCAATTTAACGTGCATGTCGTGTTGATGATGCGATGGCAGTAAAAAATAAAGTGACTCCAAAAGATCGAGAATAATAAGTTGGACCTTTTGTTCTAGCTCGTTCTTCCTGTAGTTGATGCCGATTGAATAGTAGTGCCTGTTCAAACCGTGGATGAGAGCCTGCGTGTGGTCATGATGAGAAATCAATCTAAAATATAAAGAGAAAGTGACCAGTGTGAAAACAACGATTAAACATAAGATGACCAGTATTTGGACTTAACAACCAGTGTAGTGATTTTCCAGTTGAGTAATTTTTATCAGTGCAGTAACAAAAATACTTTTAATCAGTGCCTGCAAAGTCTTAGCAACGGTACGGTCAAATGAAACATTTGGAGATTTTGACGACTACACATGAAAATAAACAACTAAAAGACCAGACTGATGAGCAGAAATGATGAGTGCATATTTATTAGATGATTGGTTAAACAGAGATGTTGCTGAATGCTGTTATTGAAGATCCTGTTGAATGATTTAATGAGTGATAAAAACAAGACAATGTTGAAAATCGAATGAATGAATGAATAAACAAAGATGTCTTTGTATGATGAAACAAAGATGATGTTGAATGAAGATGAGGATGAATGAGAGCAACCTGTATGGAAGGCTTGTTGAGATGACCCAAGTTAGATGTTGCTTGTCGAGGTTCTTGGCCAAGCACCATTGTGTTGGGGTTGATCAGTCTAAATGCATCAATCACGACCTGCATCACATTTGAGCATAGTTTTGAAAGTGAAACAACGACAATGCACACAATACAAAACAAGAAGACACTACACCTTTCCCTTGACACTTTGAATAGGATCAACAACAACTGCAACGGCTCGTTCAGACAGAGCCTCAAAACTTTGTTGTGTGTTGATGTCCACACCCGACAGCCAGCACCCAAACCCTGGATGTGAATGGTACCACCCGACTACCATCTCTGGTCTGTAGTGTGCATTCATGCAGTGTCATGCACAGTGAATTCATTTTAAACTTCAAACTATATTCAAAACATGAGAAACAGTCTTTTAGTAGGCAAAACTATTAAATAAATTTGAATTAATTAAAAAATGAAACACTTTAAACGGAGAAAATTAACTAATTTTTTAAAATAACTCAGATTAATATTAATAAAATAAAAGTAAATCAAAATAAAATCAACTGACTCTTCAGTTAACTCTCACAAGTCACCACACACAAACGTAACAATCATTTGATTACCAAAAGGGTTTAAACTAAATTTATTAGCAACATGTGGACAAACCTTCCTGTCTGCTTCAACATGTCCAACATTTTGGCCTGGAAGACTGGATCAACTGCCTCCACACTGACGCCCTGCATTAAATCATTCATTCAATCATTCGTTTATTCATTCATCTATTCATTATTCATTAGTGTTGTTTATCATCTAACTTAATATGTTAAAAACGTTATAATTCATTTGTTTTATAATTAAATTTCATTTATTAATTAAATTATTTGCTGAGTTATTCCACTCACCTATTTACAGATTTCATTAATGATAATACACGAACACAAAAACCCAAATAAAGAGTGAACAAACAGACTGATGAACCACCCAAACAACCGGACAAAACAAACAAAGAAGAACATGGACAGCCAGACAAGATGAAAAGAACTAACAGTTCCCGACTGAGGCATGGCAAAGACATCAATGACCCTGACAGTGTAGTCATCTACAAACTCCCCCAACATCAGTCCCATCACTTCCATTGGCACGCCAGCTCTTCCATGCTTCAACATCTAAAGCCATCAATTTGTCAATACATCAGGCATTGAATGTTGGTAGCAAAATAATTAATTCAATAATTATGCTAATATCATTTATATTTTCTTTCATGGTTCTAAAAATTTCACTGTAATTTTTAATTGTAGGTATATGATTATCATGCTAACAGAATTTAAATAGGATAAGGTTAATTGAAATTATTTGATATTCTTCATAATGATGCTACTCTATGTCAACGAAAAAAATTACTGAACTAAACTGAACAAGCGCTGTAATAAAAAGCTACAAAATGTTAATCAAAAATCATACAAACAAACAGCAAAAACAAAATAAAAATACATGAAAATCAAACTTAAATATACATATCTAACAAAATAATAGGAGATAATACAAGGACAGACGAACCTTAAGCAAGGCCAGTGATGATATGTAGACCTGTTCGGCTGTGTCTACTGCTGGTACATCCCCTGACGGTGGCTGTGAATTTCAAACAATTGTCCAACAGATCAATTTCAAACTATTCATGAAATATTTCAACAATTCTAGTAGTTGCATCTCAGCCAATCCAATCAATTACATTTCAATCATTCAATTAATTACAATTCAATTGTCCAATCACCAAATTAATTACATCCAATCAATGACATTTCAATCATTAATTACATTTCAATCACTCAATTAATAACACTTCAATAATTTAATTAATTACATATCAATCATCCAATTAAATACATTTCAATCATTAAATTAATAACACTTCAATCCTCCAATAATATTTCAATCATTTAATCAGTTTCATTTTAATCTCCCAATTAAATTTTAATTAATGAAAGATACCTAAAACCTACAATTGCATTGCAATCAACGTCATCATCGTCATTATTACAAGTCAAATTTCGGCTAGCATTCATTCCATCAGATTGCAATATTCAATTGAATTTATTCCAACATTAAGAATACATGGTCATCAAATACTCATTAGAATAATTCTTTGGTTGAAAACAATACAATAATTACAACTTGGAAATAATAAATTAATGTAAACATAACAAAATAATTCTCAATAAAATTTATGCTATTTATTGGCTATCATAATTTTAAAAACTAAATTGTAAAAATAGTTGAGGAAATGAAAAAGAATTAAAAATAAGAAATCAGAAAGTTGATTAGTGACCAACCTGACTGAGACCAGCCAAACCCCCCTGACCAAACCTCATCAGTTGATCCATCTTACTCACAATCTGCGTGGTGTAATTAAAAAAAACATATATTCAGATACATTTCAAATATTTAAATATCAATGATTTCAAACTGGCTAATAGGAAAACTCATCTGAAACCTAATTAGTGTAGGAAGACTCACAATTGTAATAAAGACAATTGTAACAGATTCATATTCAATTCCAATACCACGTAAACTTTTATTTCAAGAATGTTACTTCACAATGCATAATTTTTTTTAAATTTTGTACTTGTTAATAATCACTTGTTAATAATCACTAACCACTTGTTAATAATGCTATTACTAAGACCAAATAAGTGATTGGAAGAAGTTTTCTTATATTATATTGGCTCCATCAACACTCAATAAAAAAATTACAGAATCATTACCATCAACTATTCTTAACAAAACCCTTGATACAATTAACTTTTAAAAATCTAAAACTTATGAAAAGGCTTACTTAAATATAGCTTAAATATAGCTACCTGTGTAGAAATGTGAAGACCTATGAAAGCAATAGAGTGCAAGGCTTATTGAATAAACCTTACACTTTATTTTATGACAAGCACCAACTATTATTGGCTACCTGATACTCAAGAAGACAAGAAGGAAGCTCATACTTTTGTGGTCTTGTCTTAAATTAGTAGACCTTGCTTCGATCTTAGAGGTTAAATTAAAAGTTAAGTTCTTAACCTTAACCATTTAACAAATTTAACTTAACCATGGGGCTTAATAGGATAAAGAAGAGACAGGTTTGTCTTCTTAGGACTTGAGAATTACTCTTCATTGAAAATGATTTTAATGTTTTATTTTTATCTTTTTGATAAATGAAGTTAACTGCGAAACTCGTCATTTTTTCCATCACACACCTTTGAATTAGACTGCAATTTTAATTTTTTGTCAAAGACAAAACTGACTAGTCATCCTCTCTAATTTTTCACAGACTACTTAAACTGGAATGAAATCGCAAGCAAGAGTGAAATGAGTAAGTAATATAAGCCCTAAAAATTTTGTTTGTACAAAGATTTTATTTAAGAGTAATATAACACAACACTAACTGTATAAATTTTATTAAAACCGGATAATCAAGTCAAGCGATAGCGAAACTAACGTAAGAAAAATCAACAACGTACAACAATACAAAGAAACTAAAAGTGAAAAAAGATAGTGAAAAAACGCATGAAAGCCACATATAAATAAATATAAAATTAATTCACTTTATAAATTTTAATTAGCACGTAAAATGAAACAAATAATTTTTTTTAATTAACAAAACCTATCAAAATAATTATTCCAAGCATATATATATAGAATACAACATATAAAGGAAATCAAAAACATTCAACGACCAATAATACCATGCACAATCGGACGCAGTAATATTGCAGAACTATAATTTTGAGTAGCATAGATAAAAATGCATACAATTGTTAAGATTAAGAAAATGTATTACACACGGATATAAATATATATACATGGTACTACACAAAAAATAAACTGAAGTATCTCAAAACAGACAAATAATATAGCACATAACTTCTGACATTATTCAAGTTTCAATTAAATTGCAAAAAATAATTATTAAATAAAAACAAAATAAGTAACTTACATTAAATTTATAAAACTAGCGATGGAATACAAATTTTTTGAAATGTAGTATAGCCGGTAGTCAAAATGGAAACCGAGTTATCTCCCGAACTGTATTTCGCTTTTAAATAGAACTTAATCATATATTTATATTTTTCTATGCAATGAAAAACATTAAACAAACTGGGAAGTTTGAAGCTTTATATAGTTTTTTGCACATTAACGAATTGTTAAAAATCTTTCTAGCCACTGAATCTTCAATGGCATGAATAAAGTACAAGTACATTGACATATTTTTGTATCTGTTATAGTATAGTATGCATAGTGTCTTCATACATATCGGCAAAATGTAATCAATTTTTTCCACACACACAAACACAAGCACCCACACACATATATATTTTTTTTTATTCAAAATATCATTTGTGAATATTTCTGTTTTAGCCATATGGATGAATTCTTTAAGCTCAACAACTCTTCTTTCTGTCCCCAATCTCTTTAAAATATTCTCAGCAATTGCAAAGATTTTTTTAAAAGTTAAATAAAAATTAGCATTGATTAATCATGCAAAAGCATTGTTTTTATATAGAAAATTTATCATTGCATCCACAGTTAGATAAAAATTAAAATAAGAGCATTTGCTATCCTTAATATCACCAATTGAAGGGTACACTACACACTAATACCTTTTATTGATAACAGATGACAAATGTAATTCTCACTCCCGATTTGAGTGATGAGGTTATTACTTCATACCTCACAGTAAATGTTTGGTTACTCTTTTGACACCATCCAATGGCTATATATGCCAAAGCATTTTCTATCAATGCCTCAACTGATGTTGAAAAAAAATTTCACCTTGAAAATGTATAACACTTCATATAAAATAAAAATTACATCTTTCATACAATCTGAAATAAGTAAAAATAAAAAACTTCTCAAACTCATTCTCAACAGTCTCATTCAGTTATTTGTCTTTATACTGTATACTTACCTTCAGCATTGGCTTGTTTAATTAAAATTAAACTAATCAATAAAACATATTAAACAACAAACAAACAGTTTCACTGGCCAACATTGTGCCTGATATACCTGATGGGAAATGAAACAGATTAAAAAGACTACTGAACAAACTATTTGCATTAGTAAATTTAATTAATTTAGTTAAGTTATGGAAGTAAAGGAAACATGTCATTAAATTTTAAATTCAACTTAATCTTCATTTATTAATTAAAAAAATAATCATTAATTTTTTAAATGAAATATAAAAAACTATGCCCAATATATACATAAACGAAAAACTGACTGCACTGGAAAGAAAATACCTGAAAAACGACAAATTTAAAGAAATTGTTTGGTGTGATATAAAGAACGATACTGAAACACTGCGTGTAGGAGTATGCTACAGAGTACCAGATTCAACAAAAGAGAATGACAGCGAATTACGTGAACTGATCAGAAATGCCACAAAAGTGCCTTGCGTAATAATGGGAGACTTTAACCACCATATTGACTGGAATCATAGAGAAGGCCAAAAGGTGGTAGACGAACTGTTTCTGGACTGCATAGACGAAAACTTCGTTACTCAGCATGTGATGGAGCCAACAAGGGGAGAAAATATATTAAAGTTAATAATATCAACAGAAGAGAACATAATAGAAGAAGTTAGAGTAGGAGAAGAATTTGGAACGAGCGATCATAGGATACTTAGATTCAACATAGTGTTAGAGCAGAAAAAAGAAGATGAGGCTTATTCAAAGCGCTACAATTATTTCAAAGCAAACTACGTCAAGGTCAGAAATAAAATCATAGAGATGAACTTGGCAGAGCGATTGAAAGATTTGGGAGTGCAAAATAAATGGAAAACCTTTGTGTCCTGTATGAATAAAGTTGTTGAAGAAACTATACCGACTATCCGGAGAAGCAACAAAAAGCTACCGTGGATAAATAAAAATGTACAGAAAACAAGAAGATCAAAATTTAAAGCATGGAAGAAGATGCAGGAGTTAAGACAGAGATATCTCAGAAAAGCTAAAGATATCTCAAAAAGTGAGTTAGAAGCAGCAAGGGATAAATACATCAGAAAGAGAAATCTAACAAAGGCAACAAACAGGAAAGCAATAAAGGAATATGAAGAAAAGCTAAGTGAGAACATAAGTAAAGACAGTAAAAGCTTTTTCAGTTACATGAGAAGTAAACAAAAAAGGAAAGATAAAGTGGGGCCTCTGAAGACTGATTATGGCAACATTGTAACGGAAGAAAAAGAAATGACTGAGATGCTCAATAACTACTTTGGATCGGTGCTGACAAAAGAAAATACGAATAACATAAAGGAGCCAAAAAAATTGCTTGGGGGAAGCCAAGAAAGGATGCTTACAAGTGTTTACATAACAGAAGAGATGGTTGTCGAAATACTAGGCAGTCTCAAAGAGAATAAAACTCCAGGAATAGATGAGCTGCACCCAAAATTTTTAAAGGAAATAAGACATGAAGTAGGAGCCACACTGTGCGAAATATTTAATGACTCTTTAAGATCAGGAGATATACCAAGGGATTGGAGGGACGCTATCGTCACGCCATTGTTCAAAAAAGGACGTAGAAGCGAAACTAATAACTACAGACCAGTTAGTTTAACTTGCATTATATGTAAAGTATTAGAAAAAATTATCAAGAAGAATATAGTCGAGCACTTAAATTCTAACTGCATAATCAATGACAGCCAACATGGTTTTATGAAAGGACGATCCTGTCTATCTAACCTATTGGATTTTTTTGAAGATGTTTATGCTAACCTAGACCAGAATAACTCGGTAGACGTAATATATTTAGATTTTGCAAAAGCATTCGATAAGGTGCCACATAAAAGGTTATCCAAAAAGTTACAGGCATGTAGGGTAGAAGGAAATTTGCTACAATGGATAAAAAATTGGCTGAAAGATAGGAGACAACAGGTGCGGATAAAAGGAATAAACTCGAGATGGATAGACGTAACAAGTGGCGTGCCTCAGGGATCGGTATTGGGACCGCTATTATTTGTGATAAACATTAACGACATCGACGAAGGAATAGTCTCCAAGATTTCAAAGTTTGCAGATGATACCAAACTATGTGGGAAAGTCAACAACGATGAAGATGCAGAAATATTGCAAAAAGACCTAGCAAGACTGTACCAATGGTCCAAGGACTAGCAAATGCTTTTCAACGTTGACAAATGTGCAGTAATGCACTTAGGGAGGAAGAACGCAAGATATGAATATAAAATTGGTGAAAGAGAACTACGATCGACAGAGGAAGAAAAGGATTTAGAAATCATTGTTTATCAAAGCACAAAACCGTCAAGAAAATGTACAGCTGCAGCGGCCAGAGCCAATACGATCTTGGGATTTATAAGAAGAACAATGGTCAGCAGAGAGAAGCATATTATACTGAAACTGTATAAAACCCTGGTCAGACCTCATCTGGAGTACTGTGTTCAAGCATGGAGCCCATATATGCAGAAAGATAAGGAAGTTTTGGAAAAAGTACAGCGCAGAGCCACAAGAATGATTAGAGGAATCGGAAAATACGATGAGAGATTGAAAAAATGCGACTTGACATCATTGGAAAAAAGAAGATGTAGAGGAGATCTAATCCAAACATATAAATTGATCACGAATAGGGAAACAACTCCATATTCGAGATTTTTCAGGCTAGTAAACAGTGATAAACTACGAGGACACAGATTTAAGATTTTCAAAAACTCGGATGGAAAAATAAAGAGCAGATTCTTCAGCAGTAGAGTGGTCAACGCCTGGAACGAGCTAAGCGATGATGCAGTCTCTGCGAATTCACTCAACAGCTTCAAAGCCAAACTCGGACAGATAGGATATTAGGAGATCTAATTAGTAGTGGTTCTTACACAGACCATAGTTTTCTGAACCACTTTAAACCCCGTTAATAATAATAATAATTATCCTAAATTAAATCAACATATCCAAAAACTTTTTTCTGCACAACAAACCAACATAAAATTTTTATTTAATCAAAATGTACAATTCTCTGCTAGTTTTATTAGCTTTGTTTATTTTTTAAAATAAATAATTACCCGATTTCGCAACCTCACTTTTTAAATTAGATGGCGGAAATATCAAAGATTATAAAAATTAATACGGCCCCCTTTTGCATGGTATATGTAACGATAATTAATAAGAAATTTCCTATATATGTTATATTCCACATATATGTTTAAGCATATTGAATACATCACATATATAAAACAAACTTGAATAAGCTGCAAACGAATAGTCAATAGTCATAGGGGCAGAGACATGTCATAAAATTGATTGGCGAGTGCAGAAAATTATTGAAGTGCCTAACTTATAACTCTCATAACTACACATATATCTCATACATATACTTGTATTTTTCGAGATTAAACTGTAAAGTTTTGTAAATATTTATTATTTAATAATTATTATTATTAATCAAGTAACGACATTAAACCAAGAGTGGTGCGTAAGTTAAGTTGTACCAAACACGTTTATGCATAATTGTATACAAGCTTTACTTATAGGATAGAGTTTAGAATCAGGAAGACTATAGTAGATCGAGTTTCAATAATCAATCCTAGATAAGACTTACGAAGTAACAAGAAGGAGAAGAGTAAGATCGTCAAGAAAAGGCAAATGTTTTTTTATTCTACGTAGATGAAAGTAAGAACTTTTAGCAACATTATTAATCTGAGATGAAAAAGTCAAAGAATCACAGATAAAGCCTAGACTACAAAACTTATGAGAGACATCCAGAGTTTTAGAATCAGGTAAGATAATAGGAGGAATAATAATAGAGTGTTTAGATTTATCAAAACAAATTAATTCAAATTTAGAAGGATTAACTTTAAGATACGTAGAGTCAGACCAAGCGATAATTGAAGAAAGACATAGAGATAGATTATGAAGTACACTATTGAGATTAGATGGAGGAAAAGAAGTATAAATATAAGAACCATCTGCATATAGTTGACTAGCGTTTAATCAATTTAATTTTTTAATAAACGAGAAGTGTAGAACGAATGAAATACGGAAAATTAATATTATTTTCAGTTATGGATTGCGAAGGAATGTCGAGCGATTGCCGAACAATGATCCTAAATTGTTGACGACACCTCGTGTTATTTCACCCGGTTTGTTGGACACTGCCTCGTCATCATCTGCGAAATTTAACTGATATCAGACAGTTGATACCAGTTCTCAGAAGAAAGCCAGCAATGCAGCTCTTCTGAGGATGAAGAAGATGAGTTGCTATTACTATGCGGAGATGAAGAAAGAAGAGGAAAATAAAAAAGAATTAGTTGAAAAATATCGAGACAGAGCTCAGGAGCGTCAAGAATGAGGATGCTGATGGAGATGACGACGTTTCGACAGCGGTCAACTATTGCTCCATATTAACCATCATGATTGTCATCGTCGTTATCTTCATCATCATGATTGTCATCATTGTCATCGTCTCGGCAAAAACTCAATCACCTTCACTTAATTATAGGTTTACAAAATTCTTGTGCTGTTGTTATTTTTAATAAAACCTTAAATATTGTTTGTATGAAAATTGTGATGAAAATTATTTAAAAAAAATTTTTTTTGTTACAAAAATTAGATTAAGTTTCACTCACTCACTCACTCACTCACTCACTCACTCACTCACTCACTCACTCACTCACTCACTCACTCACTCACTCACTCACTCACTCACTCACTCACTCACTCACTCACTCACTCACTCACTCACTCACTCACTCTCTAACTTATTCATTCAATCATCCAGAAAATGATTGAATCAATTAACCAATAAACCAAGTTTGTAAAGCGCCATGTTAACATCGCTCCTCAGTGAATTTGTTAAGCAAATGGGTCTTGTGATCCGCTCTAAACTTTGTAAGTGATGGAGTAGTTAGAGAAGAGACAGAGAGTTCCAATGAAAAGAGTCAGAAAAAGCAAACGCCGATTTAATATAGGAGTGTTTAACACGAGTTCTAAACTTTAGAAGTGTGAACGGTAAGACAATCGTAAACCGAGACGATATGTTTACTTTTTATATCTGATAACCTACTTAAGAAATAATTTGGATTGAGACTCGTACATTAATGTGCACATTTTAAAAACTATTTCATATTTTATAGGTAGCCAGTGCAAGAGAACCAGATATGGAAATATATGAGAAAAATATGGACACGAGCAACTAGACGAGCAGCAGAGCTTTACGTTGTTGCGAGATTACTTTCAATGCAAGAACAACAAATAAAATGTTTATAATTTATTTTATTGACGTAATGCTAAAATAACAAAAACGTATTTGGCTATGCGAATTGACAAAGAAAAGTTTGGTCCTAAAATCGTAAAACGTAGCAAGGAAGTTACCTTGTTCTTCAAAATATTTAGAGCAACTCGTCACATACTTAAAATAGGGATGTGCAGTTTAACAATACTCTCCATCCAGATCGTCAGCGTAAGCTGTTGATCGATACTAATCAAGATATCGAAATGGGAGGTAAAATGTCTTTCCCGATCTTTTGGTTTTTGAGGAGGTAGAATGTTGGTGTTGATGGGTCGATTTGGAAGCGCTGGAGTCGACTTTGATGTTTCTGTCGCTGACGTGACCTCGGATGACATTGAAGGTAATGTTGACGTTTTTGTGGATGCGGATGTGTCGTTCGACGACGAAGTTGATTTTGCTGAAAGTGTTGAAGAAGATGATGTCGGCGCTGTAGTCGTTGACACAGATGACGGTATTTTTGATAAAAATTGCTACTGGCTAAATGGTGAAACGATCAACACACGTTAAAATGTGTGTGTCTATCCGATGCCGATGATGACGTTGATCCAACTAAATTGATGAGGACATGTTGAAACCTGTGGCTTGGTGAAGGAAATTCTACTGGAAGTGAAGCGTTATGTTGATGTTGTTTGCTGCGTTGATTGCAAAATTTGGATGTCTTAATAATGGGGGGCCAAACGTACTTGGTTCTATTTAATTTTGATGTTGCTTTTGCTCCAGGATGTGACAAGGAGTGGAAATTCTGAAAAACTGATTTTCGCATGCTTGTTGGAACTAAAGGACGAGAGGTGTCTAATGAAGTGTCGACGATGATATAAATTTTGGAGTTGTTGACTGGAATTGTGCTGATTTTTAGTGAGTTTGTGTCTGTTGAGGAGTGTTGTATCATCGTCCTGTTCTTTCGACATTTCACCAAGCTTTATGGCTTTTGACACTATCGTGGCTACCTTTGTGCGTGATAACGCATCAGCCACTGCGTTTTCTGTTGTGAACTGTTAGATGTAATAAAGGTGTCTTATGTCTCTTAGTGTTAGTCGATTTGAATTGGAATGTAAGGCGAATGTCAGTGGTTTGTGGTCAGTAAGTATTGTAAACTGTCGACCTTCGAGAAAGTGTTGAAAATGATGGATAGCTGAATACATTGCCAGCAGTTCTCGACAAAATGCGCTGTAGCGGGTCTGTGCTGGATTAAACTTTTGCAATCCCGTTACTTTTCTGCTCTAGTACAGCTCTGGCAGCAGCGTCTGAAGCGTTGGTGAAAAGTTAAAAGGTATCTTATCTTTCTCTTGACCATACCACAACTTGGTTGCCGCTTGTAATACCTGCTTGGCCTCTCTAAGGATTGAGGGCTTCGTTGAGTTTTAGCGTTTTTGATTTGCTTGTTAAAATGTCAGTGAGATGTGACAATATTGTTAAGCATTTAAGAATGAAATGACGGTAGAAATTGATCTTTTCAATGAATCGGTGTAGTTGATGATTGCTTGGATTTTGTTATCGAGAGATTTAATGTCTTCACTGTCGAGTTGATGTCCATGAAATGCTGTGGATGATTTCGCCCATTCGCATTTCGATGGATTGATGGCTAGTCCTTTGTCATGCAGTCATTGAAGAACTTGTTCTACATGGCTTCTGTGTCTTTTGACGGTTTTGCTCGCTATTAGTATGTCATCAATGTATGCGTGGATAAAAGTCATTGAAGAACTTGTTCTACATGGCTTCTGTGTCTTTTGACGGTTTTGCTCGCTATTAGTATGTCATCAATGTATGCGTGGATAAAAGGAAGCCCTCTCAAAGCACCATCGATGAACCTTTGGAAAATCTGTGCAGCATTTCTCCGCCCAAATGGCATTTCCAAAAATTCAAACAGACCGAACGGTGTTGTTACTGCCGTTCCTATGTAGTCTCCCATGTGCAACATATAATTTGGACTCAGCTGACCAACACTGAATTTTCCATACGATGCACATCTTGTGGCTCCATAGGCATCCTCTGACACGATCAACAGTTTGTATTTGTTAGAGTGTATCTGTGAATGTAAAATTTGATAAAAAATACGACCTACGAGCGAGACTAAGGCAGTGGAGGTTACAAGTCGTAAATGTGATTTATGTAGTTACATGGATTGATTTAATGTTTCTATTACTGTTGGTATTCAATTAAACGTTCAACAAAGATTGCGTTTCAAGCAGTTGTGTTCATCTATCGGAAATCTTGAACCTAAGAAATAACAAACTCTTGACTATCGTTGGAAGCTACAACAGTGGTGCTGGAAATAGAGATTATTGTAGCTATAACATCGGTGTTTGGTAGTTACGAGCGAGCAAGGGTTACAACATTACTTTAAGTATACACTTAGATGCATACACTTTGTAAGTAATGGAGAAGTCTTATGAAGTTTTTGTTATGGATCTCAAGACCCATCTGTTTGCAAAATTCAATCAGGATAATGTTAAAATGGCACTCTGTAAAAAATTAACTGATTAATTGATTGATTGATGGATTAATTAATTGATAATTTAAAAAAATTATTGGCTTGTTAGCAATATCTAATCAAACTACACTTTCAAATTTTGAGACGTTTAATATTTCGGAAATTGTGTTCGTTTATAAGACAAAAATCTTTCTACTTATGTTTAAGCTTTTCGAAAAAAGGTTTGCAAAGTACTTCAAACTAAACTAACTTCAAACATTTATTGTACGAAGAAATTTAAAAATAAAAAAGTTTTTTGAAAAACAAATTTTAAAATTTAAAGGTTTCTTGAAAATAAATTTAAAAAAATGTTTGTTTAAAGTTAAAATGTCGTTAAATAAACTTTTAAAATAATTTAAATAATAAAATGTTTTAAAACACTCTAAAAATGAGTGCAGGCATCTCATGTAGCATATCGTCTATAGAACCAGCAATTAAGACTCCACCACTTGATGCTGCTGCTGTGCTTATTGACGCACTCACACACCTTGTTGGACTGCAAGATTGTGAGGCAGGAGGTGTCTGGAGGACCGCAGCGGCCACCATCGGCGTCCCAACAAGCCTTGCAGTACTTTTCACATATGGTCAACACTGGGCACATCATAACTCTAGCTTTAAAATTTTAATTAATTATCAAATAATTTTCCAATAAATTTGGTTGCAAACGCAAAATCATTTATGAACATGTTTTTTTTAAACATAACTGTTGAACGGGTTTACTATGATCACACAATTAAAAAACCTTTCATAACTAAATTGTATAACTGAAACGACAATATTTATGACTGTCAAATTTAAGTAATAATAGGAGAGCGTATTAGACATAATGTGTGAGTGTGAGGTGAGTTGTACGACTGAAATGACAAATTTGATGATTTTAAATTCATTGCATAAATTGGATTCTTGATGTGTTTGTCTGAAATTCAAATTTAGTAATAAAAATAAAAAATAAAAATGTGAACTCACATTTGCAGTCGGAGATAAGTGAACCCTCAACAACTGAACAGCAAACAGAGAGGAACAGGAGAGCGAACAGCTGCTTCAACATCCTTTCTTTAGCTTTATTTTCGACCTGAATCTCTTTCCTCTTTTAAAATACAATTTTTAGCTTTTTTAAATTTTGCGTTAAAAGTTGGGTTTTATATAGCGGTTGGTCGTGTAAATTTTTGCTACTCATTCACTAGATCACAAATACACACATACACATCCACACACACACACACACACACAAACACACACACACAAACACACACACACACACACCACACACACAGCTGGTATTTATAAATATAACAATGAGTCCATTGGTTTTAGAACAAAATTTTATACGAGAACAGTTGGGAAAGTTTTGTAGCGCCATTGTTTGCTTAGTAAGATGGAGGATGGTCTGTTGTTTATGTGCGTATCGTGCGATGTTTTGTAACGTTGGGAGCCGTTATGAATAACTAATGCTCGTTGTTCGCGCGACAATAAGACTGAGCTTATTTTGCATTAATCAATCAAAAGCAATCGTGATTAAAATTTTTTCATGAGTCAAAATTAATAAAACTTCCCCAATTAATTCTCTGAAAACGTTTTTCAAAATTTTTTTTAAACTTGCGTTGGCTTTCGTATTTTAAGCATTAAAACACTCTTCTTAAAACAGGTTTTAAAGTAAGAAAATGAGATTGTTATGAGACTCACAGAAGAACATTGAAGAGCGAGATGCCATGTGCTTCACGGTTTGTTTTCCATATTTTGTCATCAAATTAAAAGTTATATTTCAATTTTTTATTTACATCCACATTTCATTAGGCTATACATTACAAAAAATATGCCAAAATAATTAGTTTCACAATATATATATATATATATATATATATATATATATATATATATATATATATATATATATATATATATATATATATAT